GATGGTTTCACTCATAGCAGGAGTAAAATGGAGCAGGTGAGAAAATAATAAGAATAATGAACAACCATATACCAGAGACATTTTGTGGGGGTGGAGTGGGGAATGGGATCAAAAACGGGAGGGTGGGGGGAGGGAAGTGCACGGGATTATGGTGATGGCACACGGGTGACTTGGTGATGGGAAACCCGCGGGGATTACAATTGAGATGGAAAAAAAAATGTACAAAGTGATGTAAAAATAAACTGTTATAAAATTAAAAAAAAAGGCTAAAATCATCTACCAGTTGAGTAGCGAGACCTGGATTTCCAGGACCTTATTAGGAATTCATGCTCCTGTCATTAAATTTGCTGCCCTACTGCCTCTTAGACAAGAAAGACTTTATCAGTACAGTCTTCACAGTCCCTTTGAAAGGGAACAGTACTGTGGGTCTCCATAGTCCTGTACCCAATGTCCTATTATCTTCGCTGGCCAAGGTTAAAGTACAAACAACAGTTAAGACTTCTTAGGTACTTATCACTGGAACCATCTGTTTTAGAGGCAGAAATGGGCCCGAAGACTTCTAGGACTTGAGACTTGTGAGTCATGCTGTACCCATTAAAGCTCTATCAGGTGATGGATGGGAAAGAGAGGCGACTTCCTGGCTTAGATTAAGGAAATTACTGGCCTCTTGCTGCCCTCTGCTTCTTCATTGGTAGCAGAGGTTATGTGGGTCAAGCAACTGGAAAAGAAATGTCTAGATTAAACTTTGTGAAAAATAGATTGTTGTTAATATGTATCAACCTGTACCTATATAATAGTTAATATTAATGGCTAACTATTACTTACTACTAGGATTTATTTCTAGATATTACTCCATCTAGAGGTGGAGTATAAGGCTTGGAAAGGAGGGTATGAGCAGCTCTAGGCAAGAGATATACTTTCTGCTATGGAGAACTTCTTAGGAGGCCAAGAAATATCAGTCATGGCCACCAGCTACAATGGCATCTCTGAGCTTCTCTGGAAAGCTCACTCCCTGGTTCTAGAGATAGACTACTTTGAATCACAGACTGGGAGGAAAGAGCCTTCAAGACCAGAAGGTGAGGGAGAAGAAGCCTTATTGAGTCTCAGCCAGAGTCTGAAATGGAAAGAGTGAGACAGTCCTCAAACCTTCCTAAACTACTGATCTTGATGAAAAGAGGGTGTCTGGTGTATACTTTCTTAGAGAATCTGGGTGGCTATCCTAAACTGCTAAGAGGTTTAGAATTTATATTTATAGTGTATGAAGTTCCAAAATACAATGTCTTATTTCATTCACCAGTAAAAGGTGATAAAAACCTAACTCGTGGTAATAACTCTTAACTATATGTGGAAACTGGGAAGTAAATAGAAAAAAATTCTACACATTATGTTCAAACACAAGGTTTGTTAAACTTTTACTCAGAGTTTAAGTAAGGCTAAATGATTCATTATGTGATTTTCTAGCCCCAAACAATAGCAGCACAGAATTTAAAAAGAGAATGTTAGTATTATTAGAGTTAGGCATACTACCATAGGAAAAAAGGGAGCAATGACAAATTTTCTCCCCCCAAAATCAACCCAATAACACATTGAGACAGCAATGTGTGGTTATCCAATGACCAACACAACGCTACAGCCCTTGAATGGGGTGAAACCAGGTTATGTGGGTTCTAAAGTGTATTTAATTTAAGGGATTTTCTTTCTTGAAGATTACAAATACATAGTACATATGATAAGCAATTAGATATGAAAGGAATGTTTATTTTCAATAGGAAATACAACATACACCCAAATGATAACAGTTCTAGAGAGTGAGATCCAACTTTCTCCTGAGATTTCTTAGCAATTATTCAGAAGTGTTTGCATAAAAATAATCCTTATTGTTAACTTGCTTCCCTCCCCACCTAGAACATACTCAGATGGCCAGCTAACGCCAGCATTCACAGGCCTGTTAGCTTCCCAGTAAAACGGCCTCTACCAAAGAGAACATGAGTTATCCTGTTCCTCAAAGGGTATCTCCAAGTCCCACAGAAAAGGTGAAATCATATGTAGTTGACCTTGCTGAGAAAGACCGGGAAGTGTACATTTAACATTTTCCTTTAAAAGTATAGGAACCTGTCCTCCCTGGTGGCGCGGGTTAAAGGACTGCACTGAGAAGCTTAAGCCACTTCCACAGGAGTTCGATCCCCGTCTGCCCCAGAGGAGATCCACATGGCGAGGCAGACCTCTCCTGACCCGCCCGCTGCTCCCCACAGCAGGGTACTTTGTCGATCTGCCTGTTCTGCTCCCCACTCTGTCTCTGGCGAATCCTCTCACCAGACGGGCCTGTGACCTGTACCCCAGTTCTGTCTGAACAAATAAATAAAAATCCAAAGACCACATTCTCAGACAGGCACAGAGGTGAAAAAAAATTTTTTTTTTTGCTTTTAAAGGGAATTAAAAGGGATTAAAAATTATCATATAAAAAACTGTCAGTTGTTATAGTTCTGAGAATTGTAGCACAGGGATAGAGTCATGTAACCACCCCCAAAACAAGGGTACATGACAGATCTATCACCCCCAAGTCTCCCTCATCCAAAAGTATATATGTTTAAAACAATATTAAAAGGAATAATTTCCTTAGTTGTCATATTCACTACTGTGAAATACTTACTTTACCTCAAATGATGGTTCAAAGAGGACCCCTCTTCCTGGCCTGTAGACCCTAAATCTGGAGATGGTGGACTGGAGATGGTGAGGGGCAGGAAGAATTAGGAGGAACCTTTTGAATCAGAAAGGACTGGAGCTTTAAATGAGTAACACTGTTGTTTTAAAGCCCAAAATGGTTATTTTACAAATGAGAACAGTAAAAGACAGTATTGTAAATTGTGTCAATCCAGCGGAGTCTACTGAAATAATGGGGAAAATACGTCATGATAGAGATTCTTCATACAGCAGCTGTACCTATCCTTCTTGCCACAAAAACAATAAACAAAAACATCACAGCTTCAAAAAAAGCCCCAAAAGGGGACTCTATAAAAGGCACAGCTGTAAAAGAGAATAGTAACAAGACTTGCTGACTGAGGAAAATATTATTTGGACCATAAAGATGTGTCCATATGATATACATTGTCCTTTAGTAGCAAACAGCAAAACCCAATGAGCTGTGATTCATGAAGAAAAATAAACTTTGCTCAGGTCAAAGGTCTCAGAATATCACCAGGCTCTTGCTTATTGTAAAATAGGTTCCTCACAGCTTATTTTTTTTTTAAACCGGAAATGCAAAGACATTGTCCACGTGGCTCTAGTGAAAGGCGCAGTAAACAGTCCTGACAGAACAATGACAGGAACTGATCCTTTGCAGTCCTCTAACCAAGGACTGAATACAACACACCTGTGAATGGTTTCTGGTTCAACAGTACTTTCCCCACAAAGAAGCTCTGAAGTACCAATCAAGATTCCTCTCTAATCCCTGAAGCTCCCTATCCCCCCACTTCCCTTTCCTCCCACTCCCATCCCCAACTCCCCACTATCACCCCCATCCCCCCCATAAAAATGGGAGACCCAGGGCCTATTCCTTCTCTTTTAAGAACCCTTTAAAACGATGACTTGGATTCATTCCTCCCCTCTTCTGCTACCACAAATCTTAGGGAAAGAAAATCCCTCCAGGAAAGCAAATTAAAAAAAAAAAATTCATAATAGCAGCGTGAGATGAGGAGGCAAAAGGGTACAGGGGTACAGCACAAACTGTAATGGAGAAGCGCTGAGTGTTTCTCCACTGCCTCCCACCAGCCATGGCCAGGCTGGGAGCCCAGGCCTGAAGAGAAGGAGCAGCACACGCTGCCATGGTGTTTGGTGGGGGTTACCATGGGAACCTGCCTCTTGGCTCCAATGCTGCGCATCCTTCTGTAGTCACATCCTTATGTTTTCCAGGCCTGGAGGGGAAGTAGAGAAATATTACAAAGAAGGTAGAACAGGGTGGGGTGGGGAGCTGTCAGTCATGATGAAGCAAACAGACTGCTAGAGATCGGGAAAGTCATTTCCCACTGCATTGGAGGCCTCAAGAAAGAAGCAGAAAGTGTATGGGCTTTAGATAATAGATTTTACTCTATGTCCAACAACAAATTTATTTATTCATTCATTCACTTGTTCATTCTTACATTAGGCTAATTTTATGGGCACCCAGCTATACTCCAAAGCACTACACCAGTCGCTATAAATATAAGGGGAAATAAGACACAATCCTCACTCTGTGGGGGCCCAGAACACACACACACACAGGCACAAACACACAGTGTTACTGGTATGAAAAACGATATGTGTACATACAACTGCCATGGAAATGACAAACTGGAGGCAATTATTTCTTAGGATTGGTCTTAGAGTTGAGTTCAATGGAGCTAGTCTTGTGAGTTGTGTTAAAAGGTTAAAACTTGGCCCTCCCTGGTGGCGCAGTGGGTTAAAGCACAGCACTGAGAATCTGAAGCCACTTCCGCATGAGTTCGATTCCCGCCCGCCTCCTGCCCCGGAGTGGCAGACCTCTCCTGACCCGCCCGCTGCTCCCCTCAGCAGTGTACTTCGTCGATCTGCCTGTTCTGCTCCCCACTCTGTCTCTGGTGAAGCCTCTTCACCGCCCCTGAGCCTCTGACCTGTACCCCAGTTCTGTATGCACAGGTGAATAAATCTTTAAAAAAAAAAAAAAAAAGGTTAAAACTTGTATGGGCTCCTGAAGAAGCTTGCAGAATACTGTCTAGCAAGGCACAGCACACACGTCACACGTGTGCTATGTATGCATGCCCCATGTGATATGCTCCAAAACTACCAAGAATAAAAGCACTTACAGATGACCAGCTACTGCTCTCTGTGCCTCATTTAATCCTCACAGTGACTTTAGAGAGGAGGTAAAGCGATGTCATTTACAGATAAAGAAACTGAGGCGCCCTAAGGTGAAAGTGCTTGCCCAAGGTCACTGGTGTTGTCATTGGGAGGCAGACCCAGGCCTGTTCCAAAGCCTCTGCTCTTACCCGCAACATCATGCTCTTCCCATTGCTCAGAAAGGCCATGTCAAAGGATAGCTAGGGAGAGTGGAGAAGCAAGAGCTGAAGCTACCAGGAAGCAAGGTGCGGGGGTTGGATTAGAATGTCTTTTTTTCTAAAGATTTGTTTATTTATGCATATAAGAACTGGGGTACAGGCCAGAGGTGCAGAGGGTGAGACTGCTGAGGGGAGCAGTGGGCAGGTCAGGAGACGTCTGCTGTGCCATGTGGGTCACCTCCCTGGCCAGGAGTTGAACTCACACTGCAGTGGCCGTGGATCGCTTTGTAGTGCTGTGTATTAACCTGCTGCACCACGTGGATTAGAATATCTTTAAACACCATTTGAAAAAGCTTGGTCATGAGACACCGTCATGGCTTTTTATGCTGAAAAGGGGCATAATGAGAACTGGTTACAATGGCGATTCTGAAATCATGTGTAGCGAGGTAGAATGGAGGAGAAACAGATGGAATGTTTCAGTGGTGGGGAGGAAGAGAGAGTGAGGCCATTTCAAAGTTGTCCTCCCTTGGAAGCAGGGAAATAAGGGGCCCGATAAAGTAGTTCATTTTGGAGGTACCAGCAGAGGAGCGGGAAATGGTACAGAAGAGAGAGCAGCCGATAAAGAGCGCCTTTACAGAGCCAGACACCACAGCGGGCAAACAGAGCTCAGTCATGTGGGCAGCACAGTCGAAGGCGCACACGTCAGTGCCAGCGCCGAGATGTATGAAGAGTGGGCAGTCGCGCTATTTAAACACCAACTCTGTCAGTGGGTTGAAAGCTGCTTTGGGGAAATGCTAATTTTCTGGCATCAGAATAGCAATAGTTCCTGTAGCTTGGGGAACGGGAGTCGGGCACAGAGTTCAGCTGGGATCTCGGGCACACTGACCACGAGGTACCTGTGGACTGGCTGCGGTCCCAGGCTACCATCCGGCCAAAGCTGAAAGGGAATTGAGGGTGAACAACGAGATATCATTTCTCTGAGAGAACTTTCCCGGTGAGTTTCGTTTGATTTCTCACGAGGACATAACAAGTCTTTCCTTTCTCCATCCAAAACTATGCTCTCAGTGATGGGAAACTGATGCTTTGTTCAATTTTATTTCTCGGGCAAGTTCCAGAATGTTTCACTACACAGAATGGGTAGCTTCTGTAGAAGATAAAATATGTCAATTGAAGTTGAAAGCTTGAAATT